TATTGCCCCTTGGAGCTTCACAGGAGAGGTGCTATGGCAGGGTGGTAAAGATTGGATCATGGAGTTAGACAGCCTGTGTTTAAATTCTCACTCTTCCACCTACTAGGTATTAGTACTTACTGGGAAATTAACTTACTTGTGCCTCAATTTCCTCATCCATAAAATGAAGGTAATTATATTTTCTCCCTTACAGTGTTGTTTTAAATATTATATTGGTTGGTACTTATAAGATGCTTGGAATGCCTGGCACATTCTAAGAATTCATTAAATGTTAACCCTTACTTTTTATTTGCTCATAAAAAGCTTCTTAAGATAGTATCATTCATTTTTCTAAGTCCTTGTTAGTCTGTGTTATAATTTCCTGAGCATTTATAGGAGTTGGAATTAGGCCTTTTCTCTGATTTCTCCCGTGGTACCCTGTGTATGGACTTGATTTTTTTTCTAGGGTTTAATTTCTCCTCTTGCAAATGTGTGTATTGAAACCACCTTAATCCAAAAAGGTTTTGCTTCAGTGTATATGTTGCACTGTGTTGTACAAACACAGTAAACTCATGTTTTGTGTAGATAATTAAAAGAATGAAATGTTCCAGGCAATGAAATATTTTTGTTAGAAGATAGTAAACATTTAAAAAGAATTAGAATGCAGTAAAATACACTTAACCTAATTACACAAGGGAAAATAGGGTTATAGAAACAGCAGTCTGGTATTGACCTGGGACTTAATCTTAGCTCTGCCACTTACTGGGTGATGTGCAAGTTGCTTTCTTAACTCTCTGGGTCTCATTGTCTATTGTCACGATCATCACAGTTGTTGTTAATAGCACTGGGGAAGGGTCCGGACACTAACTTTTTGTTCTGATTCTAGTACCAACTGGTTATATTGCTTTCCAGTGGTTCTCAATCTTCTGGCCCTTTAAATACAGTTCCTCATGTTGTGACCCAACCATAAAATTATTTTCATTGCTACTTCATAACTGTAATGTTTCTACTGTTATGAATCATAATGTAAATATCTGATATGCAGGGTGGTCTTAGGCGACTCCTGTGAAAGGGTCATTCAACCGCCAAAGGGGTTGTGACCCACAGGTTGAGAACCGCTGCCTTGGTGGATGTCCGACTGCAGGTTTAGGCCCTATCCCGGGGATCGAGCCTAAACCGGCAGTCGGACATCCCTCTCACAATCTGGGACTGCGACACGCGAACTCATTTTTTTGGTTGATTTTTCTTTGTTAAATGGCATTTAAATATATAAAATAAATATCAAAAATATAAGTCTTTGTTTTACTATGGTTGCAAGTATCAAAAAAATTCTATATGTGACACAGCACCAGAGTTAAGTTAGGGTTTTTCAAAATGCTGACATACCGAGCTCAAAAGGTTCGCCATCACTGAACATAAGGTGATTATAATAGACCTTCCCAACCCTATGCATGCTGGCGCTGGAGGTGCTGCAGATGGGTTACAGATGTGTCCATAGGTTGATGCCCTCAGCCCCTGAGGCAGCTGTGCAAAATCTGGGGTAGCAGAACTAACTCCCTGTGCTGGTCTCCTCAGGGCTGAGCAGCCTTGTTCATTTTTTTTCCCCAAACAAAACAAAACAAACCCTAGCTTTTAGTTTTATTGATCTATTTTGTTGACTTTTTAGTCTCCATGTCTTTCATTTCTACTCTGATCTTTGTTATTTCCTTCCTACTACTAACTTTGGGCTTAGTTTATTCTTTTCTAGTTTTTTAAAGTAAGGTTGCTTTTTTAAGATCTTCATTTTTTCATAATATATGCATATATTGCTAGAAACTTTCCTCTTAGGACTGCTTTTGCTGCATCCCATACTTTTTATATTTGTGTTTTCATTTTCATTTGTCTCATGATCCATATATATACATAATTTCTCCTTTGATCCATTGTTTGTTCAGGAGCATATTGTTTAATCTCCATGTATTTGTAAATTTTCCAGTTTTCTTATTGTAATTTATTTCTAATTTCATAGCATATGGTCATAAAAGATGCATGATGAGATTTCAATCTTCTTAAATTTATTAAGATTTGTTTTATGGCCTAACATATGATCTATCCTGGCGAATGTTCCATGTGCACTTGAGAAGAATGCATATTTTGCTGCTGTTGGGTGGAATGCTCTGTAGGTGTCTGTTAAGTCCATCTAGTCCAATGTTTCTTTGTTAATTTTCTGCCTTAATGATCTGTCCATTATTGAAGATGGGGTATTGCTGTCCCCTTCTATTGTTATATTGCTGCCTATTTCTCCCTTTAGATCTGTTAATATTTGCATTATATATTTAGTTGCTCCTATGTTGAGTGCATACATATTTATAAAAATTATATCTCCTCAATGAATTGATATATTTATTATTATAAAATGACCTTCTTTGTCTCTTGTTACAATTGTTGGTTTTAAATCTCTTTTGTCTGGTGTAAATATAGTTTCCCCAGCGTGTGTGTGTGTGTGTGTGTGTGTGTGTGTGTCCATTTGCATGGACGATCTTTTTCCATTCTTTCACTTTCAGTATATATGTCCTTAAAGCTGAAGTGAGTTTCCTGTAGGCAGTTTGTAATTGGGTCTTGTTTTTGTTTCATTAAAACAGTAAGCTACTCTATGTCTTTTTATTGGCCATCCAGCCATTTAGAAATGAGATCAAGCAACTGTTCTTCACATGGTAGTGGGATTTGGGATAAAAAACACTTTTGACAAGTACCCTGTACTTTATTATTAAAATTTAGCATTTTATGCACAAAAGACATAAATAATAATATATTATTATGGACTTGCCTGCTTAAGTAGAGCCACACAGCAGGAATTTTAAAAGACTTTGTTGGAACTGTGAATTATTAGTCATCCCTTTTCTTTTGTTTCCCTGGTAATGTTTGGCCTGTGCCCCTCCTCTCTGTCTTTGTCTCTAGATTTAGATTTGGGGATTCTATAGCCTCAAATGGGGCATGTTTTTTTATTTGTTTATTTTGAATTATTTTATTCTTTTGTACCCCTATTATTTGTACTTCATGGGTATGGGGGAAGGTTAGACCAAGGCTTAGCACTGTCATGAGGAGAAGAGTTGGGATGGATGATAAGATTGAGAAGATGCTACATTTTGTTGTTCCCTAAGGCAGTGGAGCTGGTCCTTACTGTGTAATTTCAGAGGTACGGAAAACTCCTTTCTTACTAATGGATATGATCCTTTACATTTCATCCCAGGACAAAGATCCCCCTTGGAAATCTTGGTCCCCTTTCAAATACAAACAATTCAGTGTGGGGCAAAGCATGAAGATTAAAATTCTAGATGGCACTGGAAAGGAACTTTGCCATCTTCTAGAATAGGGCTTTTCATAATGTGGGTCCCCTGAGTTCCTTTCAGGATGTCCATGTTGACATTTACACCAAAGATCCAAAAACAATCTGGCATCTAATTTGAATAAAGGCAGTTCTATCAAATGACACCAGTAGTTGTGTATTCTTAATCATTATATACTTGCATCTATCCATACACACATGCACATGTATGCTAGTTTTATGTAAGAATGTCCTTGAAGCAGTAAAACTTATTAATTTCATTGGATTTTGACCATGAGTATATGTCTTTTTAATCTTCTATATGATAAAATAGGAGGTGCACATAAAGCATGTCTGAGGATACTAAAGAATGATGGTTGATGGTTGTCTCAGGAAAAAGTACTTTTGTGATTCAGTTGTGAGCTGAACTTGCCACTTTTTTCATGGAACTAATTTTTTCTTGACAACCAACAGACAAAATATGGTTATTCAGACTTCAGTGTTTGGCAGACATTTTCTTTTAAAAAAATGCAGGAAGCCTGCTTCTTTAAGAAAAACAACTGACAGTATTTATTACCAATGATAAAATTTAAGCTTTCAAACAAAAAAATAGAGTTTTGGAGAACTCCTATTTGTCACCATGAGCTTGACAGCTTTCCAATATTTGAAGACTTTTCTGATGAGATTGGTGGTAATATTAATGAATATAATGTTTTGATATTATATAATGAAAAGTGTCAAAATGTGGAAGATCTGAATAACTCAGTGTTCCCATATTTTCCAGATGACTAATGCATGATGTTACAAAATAAGAAGGATAGAAAGATCTACTCAAAGAACAATGTGTAACATTGGATTTTAATGTAACAGAGGAGGAGTTCATTGATATGGGTTCAGATTGCACACTGGAACTAACCGTTAAGAAACCATGTTTGTTGAGTTTAGTATGGCCCCATAGAAGAACATCCACAACTATCATAACAGATGAGTGCAGAAGCAAATCTGACTATGCAGTCCTCACCTGCTCAGCTAGATAGTGAAGAGATCTGTAAAATGCAGTGATGCCTCTTTTCTTGCTGAATTAGTTTTTTTTTTCAGAACATACAGTTATTGTCATAAAAATGTGTTATTTATGTGATATGTAATATAAAATAAATAATTATTTTTCTCAGTTTTTATTTCGAAAATGGCAATTATCAATAGATGTAAGCCACATAAATATGGAGGATTCAATCAATTTGAGGAGTGTGAAGGGGTCCTGAGACCAAAACGTTTGAGAACTGTTGTTCTACACCAACATCTGACTTTACACAGAGGTAACTGAGGCCATAACAGGTGATGTTATCCACCCACATGGGGCCAACTGTGACTAGATCCTATCTCTGAAAACCACTGTTTGCATTGCTTGTTTCCCCTACTACATTACTACCATGATGACCTTCATATGAACGACGTGGTCAGCTACTCTCCAATGAGAAAGGTTTGGAAAGTAAGTTATGATGGAGGTCAGCTGAGAAAGCCTTTCTCACAGCCCGGGGAATGAGAGGCCGGGGGAGGCCAAAGGGCCTCTTTCAGGCAGTGGGTGCATCCATCTGGAGATGTGGGCTGAGAGCAGATGAGCAGGTTCCAGGGGAGGAAGAACATGACCGACTGCGGACTGCGTGCCTCTTTTCCAGAATACAATGAGCGTTTCCTTATCCCTTGACCTTTCCTCCAGGGAGTTTGCCCGTTGGAAAGTGAACAACTTGGCTCTGGAAAGGAGAGACTTCTTCAGTTTGCCATTGCCTCTTGCCCCAGAGTTTATCCGGAACATCCGCCTCCTGGGAAGGAGACCCAACCTGCAACAGGTTACCGAAAACCTGATCAAAAAGTACGGCACCCATTTCCTACTTTCTGCCACCCTTGGAGGTAAGCAACACCATGATCCTGCGTGAATTGTTGCCAGGTTGTTGAAAATAGCTTTAAAGCCCACTGAGTATAGCTTCAATACTAGTAGTCTTCCTGCATCTTTTGTTTTTCCTGGCCTATTATTGCCTGAGAATTGTCTCCTTTCTGGTGCCTTTGAGAATAGTATAGCTTCTTAATATCCAAATTCACTCCAGAACATTGCTGTTTCCTTCTCAGCATTTTCCTGAGGAGGAGGATGGGATAAAGAGGTTGGGGGACACACAGACTCCCACCAAGCCCTTGCCAGCAGGGGGTGCTCTCAGTTTCCTTTTGACTAAGCCAATCAACCCTGAAGCTTCTCCACATCCCTACATTTGCTGTGGCTACAGTTGCCAGGCCCATGGGCAAAGAGGGAAATGTCTATTGAATCCCTGCCCCATGCTTCCTCTTTATATAGCGAATAACCAGACACACCAATTCTAATAATTCTGAGCTGGATGGAGGCTAGAGGCAGAGTTCTCTCTGTCCTGGCAGAATAAAACAGGATTTATTATAACATTTAGCTCACTGTCTGACGGACAAAAAAAGAGCTCTCTGAGGGGTCAGGCCAGCTGCTGAATGTGGTAGGTGTTGAGTGTTTGAGTGGAAAGGGCCCTTTAAACTTCTAGGCTTCTGTCCTTTTGGAGGGAGCATACATTTTCATGGCAACTTCTCATAAACAACTTAAGAGGAAGAATTTTCTATCCTCCAAGGAGGTAGATGCCTGAGATAGAGATCAGAAGAGGATGTTAAATGGATAAGCTGGATGACAAGGGGGAGCTTTGGGGAGACATACCGAACTAAGGAAAGGAAGGAGGGCCTCTCAGGTGTGATGTCTGCTGTCCTATGACACAGTCTGCTGAGATTTTTCTAAATATGATAAGGGACGGGGAAGAGGCCATCCACAGAAGTAATGGGGTCCTTCTTAGCTCCGTCTATTCTGGCCAAACATTTCATTCTTAATGGTAGGGGAGGAGGGAGCAGAAGGCCTCATCAATGAACCCATGTTGTTTGCTATAGGAGAAGAGTCCCTGACCATTTTTGTGGACAAGCGGAAACTGAGCCGAAAGACAGAAGCAGCAGGAAGTGCCCCTACAGTTGGGGGCAGTGGGAACAGCTCAGCCGTGTCCCTGGAGACCCTGCATCAGCTGGCAGCCTCCTACTTCATCGACAGAGAGAGCACCCTGCGGCGGCTGCACCATATCCAGATAGCCACAGGGGCCATCAAGGTAACTAATGAACCCATGTTGTTTGCTATAGGAGAAGAGTCCCTAACCATTTTTGTGGACAAGCGGAAACTGAGCCGAAAGACAGAAGCAGCAGGAAGTGCCCCTACAGTTGGGGGCAGTGGGAACAGCTCAGCCGTGTCCCTGGAGACCCTGCATCAGCTGGCAGCCTCCTACTTCATCGACAGAGAGAGCACCCTGCGGCGGCTGCATCATATCCAGATAGCCACAGGGGCCATCAAGGTAACTAATGGTCTGAGAGGCACTGGGGAGGCTAGAGTCTTAACCAACTCCAAGTTGGCCAGGCCTGACCGATTGAGGGGGAAGGAAGTTTTCTTATAGAAGCATAGTCAAGCCTAAACATGGTCCAGGTCTTCATTCTGCAGCAAACAGTCATGTAGATCTGCTCTGAGGCTGACTCTAGCCGAGGGACTATAGAGAAAGGGAGACAAGGTCCCTGCTCCCCCAAGGTTACATTATAGTAGGGGATAGAGATTATAAATAATTAAATATCAGCAAAGTAATTTCAGATAATGATGAAATTAAAAGAGTCATAAGGTACAGATTTTCTGGGGTAAGAGAAGGGAGCAGATAATATTCACCAGATTGGTCAGGGGAGGACACCTTTGGTCTATATATTGAAATCTGAATGAAAAGAAACCAACTGTATGTAGATCTGAGGGAAGAGTGTTCAGGCAGAGGGAACAGTAAGTGCTGAGGCCCTGAGGCAGGAACCAGCTTGGTGCTTTGGTGGAACACAGAGAAGACACTGTGACTACAGTGAAGTGAACAAGAAAGGTGCTGGTACAAGATGAGGTTCAGAAGTAGGTTGGAGCCGGATTACGTGGCCATGATAGAGAACTTCAAAGTACAATGGAAGACAACCAGAGAGTTTGAAGCAGAGGAGCAATATGGCCATACATGTTTGGAAAAGATCAATATTATTGTAACTTTAGTAACTATAACCTTCATCCCACTATCTCTACTTACATTTAGCAGAGTTCGAGGAAAGTTCATATTGTTTTAGAGAAGAGAAGACTAGTGAGAATACTGGATTTTTAGAATTCAAAATATAAAATTAGGGTGGCAAATAAGGGCCAGTCTCATCTTATATCCTGCCTTTATCCTACCCAAAATTCATAAGGAAGTCCTGTTTTTTTATTTATTATTCAATAAATATTTTGAACACCTACTATGTGTCAGTCACTCTTCTGGATACTGAGAATCCAAGAGTGAACAAAACATATTAAATCCATGACCTCATGAAGCATAAATTCTAGTAGTGGAGACATAATTAAATAAATATGCCATGTCAAGTGGGATTATTGATATGAAGAAATGAAACCAGGGAAAAGAGGGTAATGGAGATCTGGTGCTTTAGGGAATATCTGTCTAGAGCAGCGGTTCTCAACCTGTGGGTCGAGACCCCTTTGGCGGTCGAACGACCCTTTTACAGGGGTCGCCTAAGACCATCCTGCATATCAGATATTTATATTACAATTCATAACAGTAGCAACATTACAGTTATGAAGTAGCAACGAAAATAATTTTATGGTTGGGTCACAACATGAGAAACTGTATTTAAAGGGTCAGAAGGTTGAGAACCACTGGTCTAGAGAAATGTTATTTAAGCAGACATTTGAATGAGGTGATGGAGTAAGCCACATGGGCATCTTGAGAGAGAGCATTCTAGATGGAGGGAAGAGCAAATGCAATTGCCCTAAAGTGGGAGTGTTCTCGGTGGAACACCGTATGAGGTGGAGTCAAAGAGGGGGTGAAGTGGGAAATGGCACAAGTGATTGTAGGCACAAGATCATGAGCATTACTTATTAGTGACTGTTTCAGTGGTTGAGGTGAGAAATCATGGTAGCTTGCTCGGACATAGCTGGCTATAAATAAGCAGTGAGAAGTTGGCAGATTTAGAATGTATTTTGAAGATAGAGCCTACAGGACTACTCATGAATTGGAAGAAAGAAATCCAGATTAACAGCAAGATTTTTGGCCTGAGCAACTGGATGAACAGTGATTCCATTTGCTAAGAAAGGATCACCCTGGGGGAAGTACAGATCTGAAAGGAGTGAATCAAGAGTTTGGTTTTCAACATATCGAACTTGACATTTCTATTAGACATCCAAGTAGAGATATCTAACAGGCAGCTGGATATCAACACCAGGATTTCAAGAGAAAGGTCATGATTGGATATATAAATGTGGCATACAAATATATATACACGCATATTTGGTATTTAAACCCAGCGGACAGAATGAGATGAGATCACTCCAGGAGTGAATGTAACTGGTAAAGTGGCTCTGGGGCTGAGCTCTGAAGCACATCAATATTCAGAAATGGGAAAGAGGCAGAGGATCTGACAAAGGAGGGTGAGACAAAGCAGAAAGAACCAGTCAGATCATAAAGCCATATGAAGAAAGCGTGTCACAGAAGCAGCAGGCAATTGTGCTAAATGCTGTTGAGCAGTGAGATTGAGAATTGCTTAAAGGCAAACAGAAAAATGGACGCTAGCTGGAGAGTGATATGGGATCAAGGGAGGTTGTATTTTTGTTTTTCAACATTCTAGAATGTTGGTATGTTGATTGAAATGATTCAGTAGAGAGGGAGAAAGTGATGATGCAAAGAAAGATAGGAGATGTTTGCAAAAGCAATTGAGTAGATGAGAGAAGTTGATATTCCATCATGGATGGACGGGTAGGTCTCACATAGGAGCATGAACACTCACTCCATCCTTTGTGGGCAACATAGAGTACTCAGAGACAAATGCAGTGGGATGGTAGAGGGGGGGCAGTGGGGAGGGATGCAGCAGTTCTGGCCCAATTGATTTCATTTCCTCCATGAAACAAGAAACAAAGTTCTTGGCTAAAAGGAAGAGGAATTGTTGAGGAAAAAATGCATGAAATGGTCTTTTCAGAGAGTGGGAGTTAGGTATATCAGTTGATGAGATCAATGTAGTGGGTTGTTGGGCAGCACTGGATGCTCATTTGAGACTCATCGTCATAATTATAACATGAAACCTGTCAGCAGAGTTTTGAGTTTTATCAGCTACATTCAGCACGTCATATTTAGCCAGGCATAGAATAGATGAAGAGTTGGATTTAACCAAGGTGTGTGTGTGTGTGTGTGTGTGTGTGTGTGTGTGTGTGTGTGTATGCGTGCATGTGCAAGATGAAAACAAAATATGCAAGGGAGCTGAGTATAAAAAGGAGTGAGTATAGTGAGGGACCAAGGGATTTGAGAACATTAAGAGGTGACAGAAAGTAAAAAAGTGGTCAGGTCAAAAAATTGGAACTCTGAGTAGGGTTCTTCTAAATTTATGTTTAAATTATTGTTGACATTAGGTAGATTTGATGACTTGTTAGAGGGAAGAGACTAGAGGAAGCACGAATGTGTGATGCTTAATATTGAGGTTATAGAGGGAGTGCAGGTGCCAAAAAATTCAGGTTCTGGGGTATGGCCATGAGTGTGGGTAGCTAAGATGGGGTTGGAAGACAAGATGAGGAGGTGAGGTGAGGAGGCCAGGGAACTGAGAGGCCAGGGGATTAAAGGGTCATTGACATGGGTGCTATAGTCAACAGGAAGGATACAGATGTGATGGTGGTAAGAATGATGGTGGTAAACAAGCTTAATGTTGAAAATCCTCAATGAGTGAAAGTGAGCAACAGGAAAAATAGACTGCAACCAGGGGGAGTCGTGGGTGACAGAGTCCTGATGGTCCTAGCTTCCAAGCAGCCAGAGGTCATTTTGAGAGGAAAGAGAAGCAGGTTCAGGATATCACAATGGCAGACTCATCCGACTTCCACATCCAGGCGCGTGAGGTATGGGAAAACAGACAGCCACTACTAGAGAAGACGCTGGGGAATTTGTGTATTCAGGATCTGCTGGACTGTGGCTAGTGCGAAAGGTGAGGAGGACTCTTGAGAAGAGATTGAGGCTATAGGGGGGTCTTGCTGAGGACTGATGATGAAATTCAAAGGTACGATGGAAGGGGTCAGATTGGGAATCGACTGTGATTGGACTGAGTCTGAGAGAGGAGGATGACTGAAGTTGACAGGGATGTCAGGTACATTTGGGAGGCTAATGTCTTAGGCAGCTTAAAATGATGAAAGAAAACTATCAGTAGCATGCAGTGGGTTTTACCAGGAATATAGAACTCTATAGAAGCCTCTCTCCCTCTTTAGTCCTTGGCCGTGTCCAAGTTAGAGACGAATTGGTCTTATTCAGAAGTTAAAGGTAGACAAGGATCAACAACTCAAAGATCCCATTAACGTTCCTTCTTATCCTTTGACTTGACCAACTTTTCACTTTTTAAAACCCCTTCATAGCATCATTCCCTCTTTGTCTGATATATATTCCTTCGTTCATCATCCATAATTGCCCCTTTACATCATCCATTTGCCCTTTGTCTCCTGTTCATGTCCATTGCCATTCTATTACCAGTAGTTCAGGATCTCATCAACTCTTACCTGATCTTCTTGCATTATCCTTTTAACTAGTCTTCCTACCTTTATTCTCAGTTGTTCTTCCTGATTCACCCTCTATGCTGCTCACAGGAATGAAAATCATCAAATATCACCCTCTTGCTTAAATTCCTTCAATGGTTGTTGACTGTACATGGAACAGAGCCCAAACCACTGTACCCCAGTCAGGGTTGCATTGTAAGTCAATGGAAAAAACATGGGCTGGAACCCAAGAGTCTGCCAGGCTTTGAACAAGTTACAAAACTTCTCTGAACCTCAGTCTTCTCATCCTAAAACTGTTGAGCAATTAGAATAATTTCTACCTTGAAGGATTTCTGTGAAGATCAAATAAGAAAATCTATAGAAAGCATGAGCAATAGCACAACTGGAGGTTGAAAAGGGATAATTCCTCTTCTTCTTAACAAAACTATAAGGCCATTGAAGTGCTATCCCCACTGTCTTTTTAGTTTCATCTCCAAACCATCCTTTTACATTCTTCTGGACCCGTTTCCCCCCAGCCCTTCACTTACCGTTTATATCATGTAACCAATCCTATCTAATTACCAGTCTTTATCCAAATATACCATGTTCTATGTCTCCTCCCCTGGCATCTGCTGTTTGGTTTGCTTACAAAGCTTGTCTGTTCACCTGAGTGGCTCTTCCTCACCCTTCTTTGATCAGCTCAAAAAGGTAACTCTTTTATGAAGCCTTTCCTGACTCACAAGGTAGTTAAATGCCCGTCTTCAGTGTTTCAAGCACATGACTCTTCTATGG